TGTATATGCTTTTGTGACTCAACTTTTCAACATATGTGTGCACGACCACTCTCCCCGTCATTGCATAAGCTCTAGGGAGTGTAGTCCTCGATCCTCATGCCACCAATCACGCATCTCGACCCTCGTTTCACATTGAGTCGAATTGCATGACTCAATGTGAAATGGATGCACAAATGAACACGATAAGGCCTAAACTCCATCATGGGTAATCAAGAATGTCGGCGACAGGGAATCGAAGCACGTTTCATCACTTTGAGTACGAAACGTCCCTCGTTTCCCCTGTTTGGACTAAACCCTACTCCAAACACTATGCAACAACTAGAATGGCATGGCATGCAAAAACAATGCAACAACTAGCATGCAACCTAAACATAATGCCACTAAATGATGCAAACATGAAAATGATGATATACAAACATGCTACTAGCATACACAATGCTATGAAATAATCAATGGCATACTCAATGCACATGAAAACTATATGGCATACGCAATGCACGCATGGAAACTAATAATGAAATAATTAAGGCATACACAATGCAATGGTCAATCATGCAACAACATGGACTAAATGGCATATACAATGCAAGATGGACTTAAACCAAGATAGGTGAGCCTTAGCCACACCTAAATCAGTGGCCAAACATGATGAAATTGGGCAACGAAAACACATGCAAATATGCACGAATGCAAGGGACCAAACCTAAGGCACCAAATACAACTCTACCAAAGCATGGCAAGGGATGAAATATGACATACAATCACACATTTCCCAGCTCTGAAATGACATGCAAGATGGTCCTGAATCATGTAAACACCTCACACAATGCGTGTTAGATGGCCCAGATACCGAAACTAGTGAAGTGCATTACACTAGAGGTACACAAAGCAATGCTCAAGTGACCTAACTAGCCCCAAACAGTCCCTATACAGGTCTGAGAAATTGGGAAAATGGTCTAAAATGATGGCTCAAAATGCATAGAAGATGCAAACATGAAAATGATGATATACAAACATGCTACTAGCATACACAATGCTATGAAATAATCAATAGCATACTCAATGCACATGAAAACTATATGGCATACTCATTGAGAATGTCATTTCAGAGCCTACATTTAAAGAGTGGAAAGCATGGGAATATGTCACAAGTATAGGCTCTGAAATGACATTCTCAATGACCCTAAAACATGAAAACACCTCAGTATAAGCATGCAATAGGCTTCAAATGTGTTTGAGGGTCGTGCTTAAATACCTCATTTATGGGCCATTGCATGAGCTTCATTTCTATGCATTTTGAGCCATCATTTTAGACCATTTTCCCAATTTCTTGGATAAGCATGCAATAGGCTTCAAAACTCAAGGCTAGACAAGGGTATTACGCTACAACCATGCATAGCAAGCACCATTCGACAATGAGGCATAAAAACAGAGCTAAGGCAGTCCAAAACATGCACAAAATCAGTTTAAGGCATGGCTAAAAAAGTGCTAGAATCAAAGACCAAAATAGCATGCAATACAAGCTAGTGAAGAGGGTTTACACTACAAGTATATGAAGCATTCAAGAGGTCACTAAACCAGAAAAATTAAGAGGTATGACATGCCAAACGAAGCCCAAAAACTCATTGAAACATGATCAATGCATGCAAGAATGACATGCTCCTTTGATAAGCTATAAGAGGGGTTATTCTACACATGCAAGGGACACACCCAAGGTGACAAAACCAACTCTGGGCAGAGCCTAGGAAGGCCCTAAAACTCACAGAAAAGAGCCTGAAACAAGGCTGGAAGGTGTGCAAATAAGGGCTCCTTTGTTAGGCCAAATATGCTAGAAAACAAATCAAGAAGAGAGAGGGTCACCCCTCTCTGATTTTGGCCCTCAAAACTACATCCTAACCACTGAAAATCCGGTGGAGTTAGGCCAAATATGCTAGAAAACAAAACAAGAAGAGAGAGGGTCACCCCTCTCTGATTTTGGCCCTCAAAACTACATCCCAACCACGGAAAATCCGGTGGATTTCAGTGGCTAAAGGGCCAAGCAAAGCTCAATACAAAAGCCTTAGGGCATGGCTCAAAACATGGCAAAATGAAGCATGCAAGGGGATAGATGACCCCCAACAAAAAAAATGATCTTAAACAAACATGTTAAGGGCCTCAAAATAAGACTTTTTTCAGTTTACACCAAAGCTCAAATGTGTATGCAAATAAGGCTAAGAAATGGATCAAAATAAAGCTCAAAAGAGGGAATAAGTGTGTTACCCTTCTAGCTCAGCAAGACAGCAACTTTGAGACTAAAAATCCAGACCTTCAACCTCTGAAAATGACCTCCAAGGACCTCAAAGCAATGGTGGAGGTGTTAGGCTAGGAGGTGGTGTCCAAAGATGTAAGAACCAAGCACTTTCTAAGCCTAAGGGGAGAGATATAGAGGGAGATAAATGTATATGCCTTCACCAAAATCTGAACCTTCACAAAGGAGGGGGAGGCCCTCCTTTATAGCCAAGAGGGTCCAAAGCTTCTCAAAGAAGCTAAAAAACAAGCTTGAAGATCCTCCATACACGTGTATGGAGGATCCATTCTGTGCCTTCCAGCTAGCACAACTGACAACAACTCATAGAGACAAGGCTGAGGGAGGTAGGTCGACCAGTTCAGGTGGTCGGCCGACCACTTTCCCTGGTCGACCAACCAGTTCAAAAGGTTTAGGTGGTCGGCCAGCCACTTGAGGTGGTCGGCCAGCCAGTTCAAAAGGGTTAGGTGGTCGGCCAGCCCATTTGGTGGTCTCTCAACTGAATGCAAGCTAGTGATGTGGTGGGAGACCAGCAATTGTGGCCCAAAAATGAGGGAGACCAGTTACTTGACAAGAAAATGGGCTGGCGGGGGAAAAGTGGTCTCGAAGGAGAAAAGGTGGTCTCCCACCCTTGTACCACCTTCCAAACAATGAAAACAAGGTCCATGCCAAAAATGAACCAAGACGGATGCAAAACGAGGTTTCGGGGGCTCGAAACGCGCAGCCGGGTGCCCCGAAAACAGGCTGTTAAGCATCAAAAGTGGCGTTCGACCACGAAAGTGGTCTCCCGAGCCACAGTGTCCCTCTAGAGAGAGGAAACAAGGTGTGTGCCAAAAACCGGAGCAAACAGAGAAAGTTAAGCGGTCCCGAACCGAGGCGCACGGCCGACGGCTCCGAAAACTGGAAGCTGGTCTCCAAACGAGAAAAGTGCCCTACGACCACAAAAAGTAACCTACGGCTACTAAGAGATGGTCTACGAGACCTCTCCCTCCCTTCGGGAAAAGAAAACAAGACCTGGTTCCCAAATCGAGGCAAAGCACTAAAGAGTCCTGAAGTCTGGAGGCAAGGCTCTCAGCTGAGACTCAGTAACCTTGGAACGAGTATAACATGCGCAATCACCGAGCGCTCAATCGATGACGTCTAAGTCTTATGGTCGGTCAAAAATGGGGTGTCTACAGTTGCCCCTTTTTGACAGAACTCGAAAGTCATACGTGATGGGAGTGAATGTCAAAGCCCAGAGATGACCCATTTTTGACAAGGCTAAAGACTTAGACAAACATACAAGATAATCAAAGAGATGTGCCCTCAGGCAGGGGCAAAATGCAAGTGACAATGCAAGAAGCCGAACATAACTTATGATCATGCAAAGAAAACTGTAATGAAGCAAATATTCACAATAAATGCAATAGTTTTAAGCAAGAATGTAAAGCAAAACTACATTTCATGCAGTAAGGATGTAAGAGAATTACAATTCTCGTTGCGTCTCACACGGAGAATACAATACTGTCCGGTTCGTCTGGTCGCACCAGCTTCAAATGAACCGTACATACAATATCGCGCCTGTAAAAGAAAGAAACTCAACAGGTACAATATTCGTTAGAGATATGCATGGCAATGCAAATGAAAAGTGCGTGACGACGCAAGTGAAGTGTGGGTGCATGACAATGCAACCTAAGTGTGACGCATAACAATGCGAGAAGGGGTGCATATAATGAGCCAATTTCATTATTTCCAACTCAATTCCATAAGTCCACAATTTTCCCAATATTAATTATACCAATTAATTTATTCAACGAATTAGGGCTTTCCACCCCATTTCCCAATATTGACCCAATGGCCTATATAGCAACAACCGACAATAAAATCGGTTTAGAGGTCCATCCCCTATCTTCCCCTAAACCGTGGAGTACATCCCCTATCTCCTCCCATACACACAACGTATATACACAATGGTCATATACACAATCAATCAATACATAACGTTAATGTATTCTATCAACCGTCATACTCTATGACATATCCAATTGATTAGTTTTAGTTTGCCTAATCATCATACATTGTCTACAACAATCAAAACTACCCTCCATCGGTAGCCCAAGCAATTGTTTCTAAACAGATAATAAAAGCTCCAACAGATAAAATATCAATGTTTTCAAAAATGAGCGATTTATAAACCCAACTCCATCATTTCACAACATAATGAGCCAATTTCATTATTTCCAACTCAATTCCATAAGTCCACAATTTTCCCAATATTAATTATACCAATTAATTTATTCAACGAATTAGGGCTTTCCACCCCATTTCCCAATATTGACCCAATGGCCTATATAGCAACAACCGACAATAAAATCATTATTTTGAAACCCAAAATACATGTTTAAGAATCAAAATAACAACTCTCGTTTATACCCTTTTGAAACCCTAAGTCCCAAAATCAACCAACTTCAACACTTTATCAAAACTACCAATAATCTATGTCGAAGACCACAATAGTGAGTAGGAATCCCTACCTCAAATTCGGAGCTCAAGGGAAGAAGATGACAAAACTCAACGTGCTCCAAAACTCGAAATTTTCGGATCAAGGTAAAGCCCTCGATGATCAACCCAACTTTCACGTCATTTTGCAATGAATAAGAAGATTCTTACTCCTGTGAAGAGAAGATTAGAAATTAATGATCAAGCAGGGATTGGGGTGTCTAGAAATTATCACTCAATGGTTGTCGAAGCTGGGGGTTATGAGTCATTAACATTTGATGAGCGAGATGCACGAAATTACATTGACAGAGCTAGAAAATTAAGGCTTGGAGAAGGAGATTCCGATGCACTTCAAAAATATTTTTTGAGGATGCATGCACAAAATTCGAGTTTCTATTATATGATTGATGTTGATACTGACTTTCGCATAAGAAACTTGTTTTGGGCGGATGCAATGAGTCGGGCGGCTTATGAAGAATTTGGAGATGTTGTTTCATTTGACACAACTTACCTCACTAATAAATATGATATGCCATTTGCTCCGTTTGTAGGAGTTAACCACCATGGACAGTCGATTTTGCTTGGTTGTGGGCTGTTATCTAGTGAAGACACTGATACATTTGTTTGGCTGTTCAAATCATGGTTAAATTGCATGTCAGATCATCCCCTAAAAGCTATAATAACTGATCAGTGCAAAGCTATGCAAAATGCGATAGAAATTGTCTTCCCCAATACTCGACATCGATGGTGTTTATGGCATATCATGAAGAAAATTCCGGAGAAATTGAAAGGGTATTCCCAATATGAATCCATGAAGATGGATTTGCAAAATGCAGTGTATGTGTTCACAAAAGATTAATTCGAGATGAAATGGAAAGAGATGATTGCAAAATTCAAGCATATGAGCTGTATCAGTGGAGTCCATCCCCTATCTCCTTCCAAACAACATTTGGTTTAGAGGTCCATCCCCTATCTTCCCCTAAACCGTGGAGTACATCCCCTATCTCCTCCCATACACACAACGTATATACACAATGGTCATATACACAATCAATCAATACATAACGTTAATGTATTCTATCAACCGTCATACTCTATGACATATCCAATTGATTAGTTTTAGTTTGCCTAATCATCATACATTGTCTACAACAATCAAAACTACCCTCCATCGGTAGCCCAAGCAATTGTTTCTAAACAGATAATAAAAGCTCCAACAGATAAAATATCAATGTTTTCAAAAATGAGCGATTTATAAACCCAACTCCATCATTTCACAACATAATGAGCCAATTTCATTATTTCCAACTCAATTCCATAAGTCCACAATTTTCCCAATATTAATTATACCAATTAATTTATTCAACGAATTAGGGCTTTCCACCCCATTTCCCAATATTGACCCAATGGCCTATATAGCAACAACCGACAATAAAATCATTATTTTGAAACCCAAAATACATGTTTAAGAATCAAAATAACAACTCTCGTTTATACCCTTTTGAAACCCTAAGTCCCAAAATCAACCAACTTCAACACTTTATCAAAACTACCAATAATCTATGTCGAAGACCACAATAGTGAGTAGGAATCCCTACCTCAAATTCGGAGCTCAAGGGAAGAAGATGACAAAACTCAACGTGCTCCAAAACTCGAAATTTTCGGATCAAGGTAAAGCCCTCGATGATCAACCCAACTTTCACGTCATTTTGCAATGAATAAGAAAATTCTTACTCCTGTGAAGAGAAGATTAGAAATTGATGATCAGACAGGGATTGAGGTGTCTAGAAATTATCACTCAATGGTTGTTGAAGCTGAGGGTTATGAGTCATCAACATTTGATGAGTGAGATGCACGAAATTACATTGACAGAGCTAGAAAATTGAGGCTTGGAGAAGGAGATTCCGATGCACTTCAAAAATATTTTTTGAGGATGTATGCACAAAATTCGAGTTTCTATTATATGATTGATGTTGATACTGACTTTCGCATAAGAAACTTGTTTTGGGTGGACGCAATGAGTTGGGCGGCTTACAAAGAATTTGGAGATGTTGTTTCATTTGACACAACATACCTCACTAATAAATATGATATGCCATTTGCTCCGTTTGTAGGAGTTAACCACCATGGACAGTCGATTTTGTTTAGTTGTGGCCTGTTATCTAGTGAAGACACTGATGCATTTGTTTGGCTATTCAAATCATGGTTAAATTGCATGTCAGATCATCCCCCAGAAGCTATAATAACTGATTAGTGCAAAGCTATGCAAAATGCGATAGAAAAAGTCTTCCCCAATACTCGACATCGATGGTGTTTATGGCATATCATGAAGAAAATTCCGGAGAAATTGAAAGGGTATTCCCAATATGAATCCTTGAAGATGGATTTGCAAAATGCAGTGTATGACACATTCACAGAAGATGAATTCGAGATGAAATGGAAAGACATGATTGCAAAATTCAATCTTTATGAGAATCAATGGTTGGGGGTGTTATATGATGAGCGACATCGATGGGTTCCTGTTTATGTGAAAGATATTTTTGGGCTGACATGTTAACGACACAACGAAGTGAGAGTATGAATGCCTTTTTTGATGGATATGTCAACCCAAAGACTACATTAAATCAATTTGTTGAACAATATGACAATGCCTTGAGAAGTAAGGTAGAGAAAGAGAAGAAAGCTGACTTCAAGTCTCGGCACAAAGTCTTTGATTGCCTAACTGTGTATGGTTTTGAGAAGCAATTTCAGGATGCCTACACCAATGCAAAATTCAAAGAAGTTCAAGCAGAGATGAAGAGACTAGTTTATTGTCAGCCGTTTCTTGCCAAAGAAGAGGGTTCAATTTGTACATATTTTGTAAAGGAAGCTATGGTAGTTTTTGGGAAGATGAAGCATGTGGACTTTGTTGTCTATTATAATTCTACCGAATTTGATGTGCAATGTATGTGCCGGTTGTTTGAATTTAAGGGCATCATGTGTGCTTACTCACTCGTTGTGCTCATTGCAAGATGCATAAATGAGGTCCCAAATAAATACATTCTACCACGATGGCGAAAAGATTTGGATAGAGGGTACACATGCATAAAAACCACAAACACTGGCTTTGGGGATAATTTCAATGCAAAGATGTATGAGAAGATGAATAGAAAATTGGTTGGCATTGTACAATTTGCTGGTTGACCGTGGGTTGGATGAAATCAAGGCAAAAGTGATGAAAGATGATGAAGGTGGTGGGAGTAATGTAGCACCTTCGACTAGTAATGTACCACCTATTACTAGTAATGTACCATCTTCCCCGATTGGCAGCATTAATAGAAAGGCAATCAGTCATACCAAGTTGCTTAGTCCTTTGGTTGCTCGGCGAAAAGGTCGTCCAGTTACTAAAAGAAAGGTTGCCAAAGTAGATCAAATAGTGAATCGGTTGAAGGCAAGCAAAAGAAAACATAACAAATCAAAGGTAAATTGGTATTCATTACTCTCTATTCAACTCATATTTTATTGTAATCATGTCATACATTTGAGGCATTCATTAACTTTTATGAATATAGGGTACTAAAGTGCTTGGAGGTGAAGGTGAAGGTCAATGTCAATCTCAACCTGAACGTAGTGTACGTAGAGAGCTTTATCCTTATGTGGTTGGCATGGAAAATAGTATGTGTGTGCCAGTGTGTACATCATAGGAATCTACATTGATGCAATTTATGTTATTTTCCAATTTATTTTAACATTTCATTTTAATTGAATAGGGACACATGGTCAATGCTATTGGAGGCACATCTCTCACCCCGGCAAGTGTGGACATTATGAACAGACAAAGTTTCATAAATCCCCCAACTCAGATTTATGGAGTTGGCACATCGCTTACCCCGTCGGACTGTATTGGAGGCACACCGGGATTTACGAGAACTCAACAATTCATGACTGCTACGCATCAAATTTATGGAGCCATACCATCTTCATTTGTTGACTTCAATGTACAAATGAACCACAATGACCGTGGCGGTAGTTTTCGTTAGTTGGGAAGTTGTAATTGTAATGCCTTTTATGTGACTAAACTTGGAGTTTATTTTTTTTTGGATAATTTATTTAATATATTTTCGGATTGTTTAGTTTCTTTATTTTTTGGTTGAGAACAAATTGATGTTGTTCCCTATGTTGTTATAGTTAATGTTCCCAATTGATGTTATATTTGTGCTCTGTCTGTTACAAATCTGTTACAGATTTAATGTGTTCCAAAAAATCTATGTCGAAAATGTGTTCCAAATCCGTTACAAATCTGTGTGAAAAATCTGTTACAAATCTGTTCAAAAATTATGTCTGCATATCTGTCTACACCCAAATGTGTAGAAAAATCTGTCTTCAAAAGTGTGTGAGAAAAACCTGTCTTCGAATCTGTCTTGAAAAACCAGTGTCAAAAAATTATGTTCTCAAAACTGTGTGAAAAACCAGTGTTCAAAAAAGCTGTCTTCAAAAACCTGTGTGCAAAAATCTGTGTTCAAAACTATGTGAAAAAAACCTGTCTTCAAATCTATCTTCAAAAACCAGTGTGAAAAACCAGTGTTGAAAAAATCTATCTTCAAAAACCTGTGTGGAAAAATCTGTGTTCAAAAATCTGTGTGAAAAAATGTCTTAAAATCTGTCTTCAACAACCTGTGTGAAAAATAGATAAACAAAATCTGAGAAGAAAATGTGTCAAAATCTGTCAACCTGTGTTCAAATACACAAGAATGTATTTCAACAATCTGTGAAGCACCTGTGTTCAAATACACAAATTTGTGAAGCACCAGACTGGAAGAATCTATGTTCCAAATCAGTCCAAAATCTGTCCAAATATGTGAAGAAATTTTGTTCATAATATGTGTTAACAAGCTGTCCAAATCTGTGAAGCACCTGTGTTCAAATAGACAAATACCTAAACAGAATCTGTGTTGAAAATCTGTCCAAATCTGTCAATAATCTATGTTCAACCAGACAAACAGAATCTATGTTCCAAATCTGTCCAAAATCTGTCCAAAATCAGCCCAAAATTCTGTCCAAAATCAGTCCAAATCTGTTCATAATATGTGTTCAAACAAACAAACAAACAAATAACTTTCAAGCTTCCAATCAGATAACAAACAATCCACATGATTACACATTCATACTTCTCAATCCATAATTGTAATATATCATAAATCTTCATACATATCATCTTCATAATTAATACAACATCAATTACATGTTCTAACTTGTATAAAAACTTATTACATCTTCATAATTAATATAACACCAATTACAAGCAAGATGAAGATCCCATTAATACAACACGAATTGCTATTTATGTCTCTTTGCAATTTTTGCATCTGCGCGTTCTGAAATTGATGTTGTTCGCTTTGGAATCGAAGATGTTCGCCCATACTTTGAAGTTGTTCGGTGACAGTTGGTGTATTGTCCATTCGCACTTGTCCTTCCTCCCTACGTTGTGAATTTGTAGGCAAGCACCATGCAATAAACCCACTGCAATCAGGACAACAATAAAATAGCTTATTCTTGTTTCATTCCGTCTCTGAAATTAGAATGATTGCTTTTTTTCGACATTGAGGACAATTTCTGGTGCAAAACGTCAATTGATCTGAGGTACTGCCGTTAACACATGAAGTTGACATTATCACCTATAAATGTAACATCGATTGCCATATATACTTAATTGTATAATCAAACTCATATATTGCTCATTGGGCTGGCATTTATATACAAAAGAATCCAGTGAGTGAACAGTGTGGCAACACCATTCATGTTTGTTGAAATCACTAGGTTAAATGTTTTGTGAAGTTATTGATACAAAAATGTGTCATCAGATGGTTTACATTCTCACAGCGAATAACTTATAATTTCTGCATATTTGCACCTATTTTGGCTTGTTAGTTCGTGATGAATTGGTCTTTCTCTGGTAGTTTCTGCCACAAAAGAGTACAACAGTTTTGACAGCTTTGAATTCTACTTGTACATATCTAATTCATATTATTCCTTATAGACAATTCAACTTTCAGTTGGGGACTAGGTGTTGGAATCATGTGTATGATGTCTGCTGGGAAGGCTAAAATCAGTATGATGTCTACTAGAATAAGATATAAAACTGAAATCATGCAAACAAATCTTCTTTTACCAACAAAGATGCTACTAGAATAACAAACTCTAATATTTTCATAAAATCCAACCACAAATATATTGATTTCAAATGCATATCTATCCAGGTGGAGCGTAAGTCCATCCTGCGAAATTGATCTTTCAAATATATTGATTTCTTTTTTTGAGAAACTACTCATTAAGAAAATTGAAAAAAAGCACTCCTGATTGGGAATCAAAAGTTGTGTTTAATAAATAAATTAAACCACTCACTGATCAGAAAATAAAAAACCAAACCCAAAACACATGTAAAGTAGGTTCCTGCTGGTTTTGATTTACAAAGTAATTATTTTTTCAGTTGAACATCATCATCACATAAACATTTACACTGTTCTTGAATCTTAGATTAGATTTCTGGGCTAAATTATTTAAGGCACATAAAAAAATAAAAAAATAAAAAGTAAACAAGGCTTTGATAACTGGAAGAAGATATGATGTGAAACAAATCAAGATCAAAAAATTTTGCCACCAACATTGTATAAGTTTATGTAAATAGACAATTTAGAATTCTACAGCTATTTCTCACATCCTCCATACCTACTACAATGCAAAACAGGCCAAAGAATCAACAATACTCTTGAAATGACATCTTCCTTCCACTGAGCTACCATCCTCACAAAGTGGGATTTAAACTCACCCGCATTATAGAAACATGATTTCATGAGGAAACAAAAATGTCTA